CTGTTTGTTGTTGCTTTTCTGTATGAAAAGCCGTTTTTAACGCTTACGTCATTTACGAAAATAACACCAGAATAGCAACCAACAGCCATTGCGAGCGAACATTCCCACATTGTTTGTTGTAGGCTCATTCAGACACGATGAGAAAAAACTACAACGGCGAATGCGAATAAAAAAAAGAAAAAAAATATTAGCAACAAGAGAAACAACAAAAAAGAAATTGGTCACCGGCCTGGTTGGTGGTTCTTTTCCACTTCTAGCCTGATTTTGGTTTCAAGAGTTGCCACTTTGGGTAAGAAAAAGCTCAGAAAATATACCGAGAAGGGAAAAAATTCAATTTTAAGCCGAATTATCTGAGTTTGAAATTCTCTTGATTTGAAGAAATTAGTCCCAATTTTGAAGATGAATGAATGGATTTTGGTATAGATTTTTATAGCACTTCAAAAAAGGGGCTATATCGTCTGATATTTACCAAAAGCTGTCATATAACAGTACCTCCTAATTTTTGGAATTATGTCAAAATCTTCAAACACCTAAACAATTATTGGTAATTTCTGCTTAAATAAAATACCTGCCGATTTTAGGTATTCAAATGTTGAGATCATAATAGGTAAAGCTCATTCTTAAAAAAATGGTTCAATATGGATCAGATATGGTGAATTCTCAGTTACGCCCATACACGCACTCCCCATTATGTTATGCACATCATTGATATGGATCCAGGTTCTGGAATAGTTTGCAAATGAGCCCACATTATTGATATTTTGAGGGCATTCTTCACATTTGGCCGAATAGGTTTCATTGGAGCTTAGGCCCTTCAAATGCTTAGCTTAAAGTGGTTTTAACATTTGTCAAAATGGGGAATAATTGATCCAGATATAATCGAAGAAGTAAACAAGTAAAAAAGCTTTAAGTTCGGGCGGGCCGAACTTTGAATACCCTCCACCATTTGAAATGAATTTGGGAATTTTCAAAAAATAAAATCCGTTGTTGAAATAGAACAGTGTTGGCTTGTTTGTTCGGAATACCATAGTATTTTTATGTTGCAAAATGGTCAGGCTTAATCCCTTTTATTGTTGTTTTTATAAAAACACGAACGTTGTTTCCAATTATAAGAGAACGATGGTAATGTTTACCAGGTGGTAAGGCAGGGAATACCTATGTTTCGGAAAGAGCCACCAATCCTCATCAGTTCCCTTGTTTTTGTGTGGGATATTGTCCCCAGAAGTTATTTTAAAAATAAATTTTATGACAAAAAAATACTCTTTACCCAAGTGACGAGATCGTAAGCTCAATAGCTCAATTTTGTTACATGAATGTAGCCGTTATATTTAGGTCTATACGACGACGTGGACCTGCATATGCAAATTTTGTCCTATGCCAATATAACATTCAAATGCGAAAATCGCAAAAAAATCGGTGAATAATGTAGCTAAAATCATCAAAAAAAAACCGAATATAAGGAGCTACTATTATATGGGGGCTATATTAACTTCAAATACCAAATTTTGAACAATTCCGGTGAATAATGTCACTACATTCATCAAAATACCGAATATCGTGATGTGCCCTTATATGGGGGCTATACGAAGGCGTGAACCAGTACGGACAATTTTCTGTCCTAGGCGGTAGCATCCATTACGAACTTCAAATATCTAATTTGAAACAATTCCTTTGAATAATGTCGCTAAAATCATTAAAATATCGAAAATCGGGAGGTACCGTTATATGGGGGCTATAGGAAAACGTCGACCTGCACAGACAATTTTCTGTCTTAGGCTGTATCATTTATTAAGAACTTCAAATATCAAATTTGAAAAAATTCCAGTGAATAATGTCACTAAAATCATCAAAATACGGAAAATCGGGAGGTACCATTATATGTGGGCTATACCAAAACGTGGACCCACATGGCCCATTTTCAATACCAAATGCCCTGCAGACATTTGAGTTAAATTTTATCAAACTACTTCATTTCGTTCGAAAGCTAAAATGATTTCCACAAACGGACAGACTGACGGACATAGCTAAATCGACATAGAATTTTATGCTGATGAAGAATATATACACTTTGTGGGGTCTAAAATGTATATTTCGAGGTGTTACAAACGTAATGACAAACTTAACATACCATCCATACTATGGTGGAGGGTATAAAAATTAAAGAATCCATTGAGCCAATGAAAACTTGCAGCAAGGACTGAAACGAAATTGACGTGCGCGTTTTACAATCCGACCTGGAATTTAGATTTATACCCATAGGGATAATTCCTTTTAGGTACCATTTGGTATTATTGTTTTTGAATATTATGGTATTTAAAGACAAATATTGAAATTGAGCTGTGAATAAGTCGTTCTCTCAATGTGGCAACGGTTCTTTTTTATTTGACTTGGTAGTTGTGGTGGTAGCCAAAGAGCAAGAGTATTGTATTCTTTGCCGATGGTAATTGGAGGCATGACATGTTATACAGTGGAACTCACTCTTTACGGATAAAGTTATTTTTCTTCTAAGAAATGGCCTTATATTTTACGACAAGTCCGTTTAACTTTTATGAAGTCATTCTCTGATCTTCTTCTTCTGATGGACAATTTGTACAGTGGAGGCCATTATATTCAAATACAGTTTCTCTCATACTAAGAACGGGTCTTATATTTTCCGAAAAGTCTGTTTAACTTTTATAAAGACATTCTCCGAACTTCTTATCTTCTACATCAATAGAGGAATAAGACTTATTACAATTCGCACATTTCTTGGTCGAAAAACTATCCATATTTTGCACCTTTAGCTACCCCCATACATAACTTTAAAGTCCGAGCTTTTTAAGTTTACCCCAAAAAAGTATTTTCCATAAAATTTATCAGGTACCTAATTTCGAGTGGAACATACTCGCGAGCTGTAGTGCTCGAAGATAATGTCACGAAGCTTACGCTCCACTCTTTTGATTTGTTTGGGAGCGCGTGTGTTCGTGTGTATGTAGTAAAGAGGAGTAACTCTGGAGCGCTCCCACCCAAATCAATAGTTGTTGATGGTGATTTGGACTACAGGGGGGTTAATCGTGCACAAAAGCGTAAAAAATGACAAAATGATTTGCAAGGTATACGGCAATGTTCTTAAACGTGTCAAATAAACCAATAACGCAAAAACTAATCGAATACTCGGCAGGAGTAGAACTGCCCGATTTCTAGCGAATTTTATTGTTACTCAAAAACGAGAAAAGATAACTCATTCTTATCCGAGTGCTATTTTGGCGTTATTTTGGCCAGTCCAAAGCGTTTTGCTAGCTTGAAGTGATCGATACTTTGGTATTTTTTAGTGCCAACCTTGCTTTCCAAAATACTCCAGACACAACAGTCCAACGGATTGGCATCCGGATATTTTTGTGGCCATTGTGCGCTGGATATGAAGCGAGGAACTTTATTTTGAAACCATTCTTGGGTGGCGCGTGCTGAGTGCGATGGTGCTGAGTCCTGCTGGAATGTCCAAGGCCTGCGGCCAAAATGTTTCCAGAAGTGCTCCCAAGTGAATTTCGCTTTTTGTACAAATTCGAGTGGGTTTTTCGGATGTCTGCTTGACGTCCTTTTGTTTTCATGTGGAAAGACATTCGGTGAGATAGAACTTTGTGCATATTGGGTTGATTTTATGCGAGAGAGGACCTTTGAGCAACGTTTAGAAGACTGGGGGAATCGCTCAAGGATATCCCATGGAATTACCGATCTTCGAGCTCTTCAAGGACTCTTATTGCCCTCCAACATATGAAAAATAAAATTTTTACACAAAAAAGATTCAATATCCGAAAGAGTTATATTTTAAAATAGAACGCGGTTAAGATACCAAATTTGGAAAAAATACCGAATATCGGAAGATATGGGGACTTAAACCTATATAGATGATATTCAATAAAAAAATTCAGTTCTACTTTGTGTCTTGAATTCAACACACAGAGGGAAGGGACCCACAAAAATCCTCATATTGACTTAGAAATTTAAGCTGATTACAAATATATGTTTATTATGGGGTCTCTGACGAATAGATTCATTACAAACCGAATGACATATTTGTTTAACTCCCCTTCCTATGCCCGAGTGTAAAAAAGATATAAAAATGTTAGACTTATAACTCGGTATACTTTATATAGAAATCCATAATGGGCTTCTCCGACCTTTTGTGTGGTTTTAAAAATTAGAATCAGAAAAAATTGATAATTTTGATATAGCTCTCGAACACGTTTAAAAAGCTCGTTCATCATTGCTATGTAGGTATTTTCAAATGAAACTTAAATTGTCTATTGTGGATGCGGGTCTTAGACCCCGAATTTCGGGTCGAGACAGTGTCGGGGATTTAGCCTCGCCTCAATTCTTTATAATAACGATAGCCGCATATCAAATGATCGCCTCACTCCTTTATAATAAGGACGGTCTCATGTCAAATGACAACTACAGAACTTTTGTAGATAGTCTACATACTGAAGACGCCGTGGCTTCTTCTAAACTTTGAAAGCACCGCAAGGTTTCCTACATCTAATAAAAACCGGACGACGGGGTTTCAAAATGCAATACAGACTTGGTCAAATCATGTCTTTTTACTAAATTGTAAGCAGGGTTCTACTGTCTTTGATTCAAGTCCAACCTCTTTTCATTTGCTTTTCGGTATGTGAGAGAGTCATGTATTGTTGTTCTTAGATTTGTGCTTTCTGTGTCTGCGAATGACTGGCCTGGCGGAGCAGTTCAACTCCAACTGGAGTTTCTTTCGTTTTCTATTTATTTCTTTTATTCGTTTTTGTTTTTGTAAAATTTACCTGAAGAATATCTTCACCGTCTTCATACTGTGGTTTGTGGTGGCATCCGATGACGTTGTTCTTCGATATTTCGAATGGTGTGGTGATGGTGATAATGGCGCCACAGTTGCTGTCGACAACGGCGACGACGATGATGATGTTGTTTTTGTTGTTGATGATGACGATGATGATGTCTTTCCGAACATATGTTTGTTTTTTCTACTAAACCTTTTTTGTAGTTGTTTTTGTTGTTTTCGATTTTGTTACGCGTGCTGATTACACATCCTTGAGAATAGTCATGGAGTAGAGAATTTCCTTTCTCATTCTACATTTAATTCAGAAAAAAAAAACGTAGAACATGTTATTGATAAACACAATAATAACAACAACAACAATAACATGTCAAAGATATGGATGGCATGGTGTACGGCAACGAGGGAGAAGAACCTTTGTGAATCATCATTGTTTTCTAGTTGGAATACGCAAAATATAATAAAAGTTTCCAAAGGTTCGTGACTTCTATTGGTGTTTATCTTCTTTTAAACTTCACAATTTTGTTGTTGTTTTCATTTTTTTTTCCAACGGGGGGATAAAAACAATGACACTTTATTAGCGAGCGTTGTTATTGAGTAATTGTGTTTTTTTTTTTCCTTTCACAGATATCAATTGTTTTTGTTATTTTTTCATTTCGTTTAACACAAAACCCCGCACGACAATTGCTTTGCACATATTATTCAATTTCTTATTAGAAGAATTGGCCTTTCAACAGCCGTTTTACACAGAAACAACAACGGCACAAATGACACTTTTCTAGTAGGTATTTCTTTTTTTCTCCATATGAAAGCAATTTGAAACGACCGTCCACGCGAAGTGAATGTATCTAAGAACGTTGCGATATAAACAAATGCCGTGATAAATTTGTATATTTTACAAAAGCCCTAGAAAACACAACAGCGATAATACATAAAACCGACCGACCGACTCAACCGAATGGCGAAAGAACACAGCAAATCAATGAAAAATAACAAAAAGAAAATGTTTCTCTCCTCTCCACACTCTGTGTGTTGTTTTTCTTGTTCATCCAATTGTGCGGCGGGTGAGCACATGTGTTAAATGAGCTGTGAGAATGACCATGCAAAGAGAAGAGAGTGACAGCGATAGGGATTTGTAAATCGACTGTGAAATAATCGATTATTCAACTTTTAAAGATTTCTATGGGAATTATTATTACGTTTTTGTAAATTAAAAAAAAAACGGAAAATAGAAAAAAAAATAGAAGAATTAAAAAAAGGGTTTTGTGGCCGTATTAAACATTTTTTTCTTTGAAACAAATAAGAGTAATGTCCAGTTGAAGTTTCCTTTCTTTGAGTTAATTGAATTGATAATTAAAAAAATTTTTATGGTCTGTTCCAGAGCCTGCAAGAATCAATTATTTTTATAATATTTTTCGATATCATAAAAGGAAAATCGGTTATCGTAGTGAAACACGATTTTAATGGTATGTTCCGGAAATGCAAGAATGTAAAAGTTTTTACCAGATAATCGATTTTCCCTTTATGATATCGAAAAAATGGCAAATTTAGTAGATTCTCGCATTCTCTAACTCTTTTTTCAGTTACCGACAAAAGTTGGTAAAATTAATATGATTATAATTTCGGTAATTAACGAAATTTGTCGCTAAGATAGTGACCAAATAAAAGTAGTCGCTAAGACCTACCGATAGATACCGATGTTGCCAACTTTAACTTTTTTTATACCCTCCACCATACCATGGAGGGTATATAACTTTGTCATTCCGTTTGTAACTCCTCGAAATACTCATGTCAGACCCAACAAAGTATATATATTCTTGATCAGCGTAAAATTCGAAGTCGATTTAGCGATGTCCGTCTGTCAGTCTGTCTGTCTGTTGTAATCACGCTTTCGAATGAATTTAGATAGAAGGCCACGTCTTCATATAGCCCCCATATAACGTTATCTCCCAATATTCGGTATTTTGATGATTTTAGCGTCATTATTCACCGTAGTAATTTCAAATTACGTAATTATGTACGGTATTTTGATGATTTTAGCTGCATTATTCACCGTTTATTTCAAGTTTTGAATTTGAATATGGTAATGGCTTGTGACAAACAATGCCTATGTAGGTGCACGTCGTACAGACCCTAATATAACGGCTACATTCGATATTTTTAAGATGTGAACAGAATTTTTGGCGAATGTTAACTTTTTCGAAAATTTTCAAATTCGTTCTAAATGGTGGAGGGTATTCAAAGTTCGGTACGGCCGAACTTACTGCTTTTTAACTTGTTTATATCTAAATTTTGGGTTTCAACCCCGTTTACCGATTTTTGTCGGTAACTCAAAAAATGTCAAAATGTCAAAAAATTGGTTTGTTCCAGAATTTGCAAGAATCTACTAGTTTTGGAATTATTTTTCGGTATCATAAAATCAGTTATGGTAGTAAAAACTTTTACATTCTTGCATTTCTGGAACAGAACTACAGAACATTGCTTTCGACAGCATAAAGGAGAAATCGGTAAGCAGTTCTGCAACGGAACATCTTTCCGGTCATGGAACTGAGTAATTTTCTTTACAAAATTTTTTATTTGGCATTACTTTTCTATTTCAATTTAATGAACTTGAATTATTTTCTTTCTTTTCTGGATAAATGTTTTGTTTCGATGAGGCCTGAAATGAAATTGTAAAGTACTCGCCATTCACAATGAATTAATAACACTGCAGCGTACATTTCGATAGCGGAGTGGAAATAATCTGTCGTATATGAAAACAATATATCGAATAAACAGTGTTACCTTCAATGAGTACTGCATTATCGATAATGCTTTACCGAACTTAGCATAGACAATAACCACGAAAGGTTGATAACAAAGTGTGTGTAACGTCATATAATACCAAGCAGATGTCACTCATTTTAAATTTTAATTGTTAATTTTTTTAAATGTTATAACAGGCCTACCGTAGTCGAATGAGAATTAAGTTGTATCGCAGAATAGTTTATATCTTAGAAAAAAAAAAAAAAAACAATTATTGAGAAATTGGGACTCTCGTTTCCAATATATAAACAGAAAAGGCTGATGACTAAGTTCTGATCCATCAACGCCCAAACGAAATTGCTGAAACTAAAATCTTGAAATTTTGCATGTAGGTTAATGTTGGTGTTCAGGGTGAGATAAGGCTGGGTTTTTGGAAGTACGAACTAAAAGTGTACTAAATCTACCAAAGGGTACTTAAAATTGAGTTCATTGTATAGATCAAACGGATAGAGCTAGAATTGGGAATAAGGGTTGCTGATTGGGTGTATGATAGATGTAGTAAAGGTTTTTTTTTTGGAAATTCGAGCTTTAAGGTTACGAAAAGTTCCAAAATAGAACTAAACTTTCGAAATGGTACCCCTTTTGTATTATGTGAACGGATGGAGCTAAACATTTGAAAATGGTATGAGAATCAAAGTTGTTAAGTAAATTTCGATATATGAAGGTGGTTTAGGATATTTGTACTTAGTGTGCGAGCTGTGCTAATTTTGGAACAATTTGGTTCAGGAATGAACGTATAGAGCTGGAATTTTGAAATTGTGTATTGGGGTCCCTGTTAGTGGTCGGTTTGTGATAAAGAAGTGATTGTGGAAGTGGGTACTACAAGTGCACAAAAAGTACTATTCATGTGTAGGCTGGAAATATGGAGATGGTTTCGGAAAGGTGTACTATAATTATATGAAAAGTACTGAATGGTAATATATTTGTAATTGGGAGAAGGGACAGTGACAACTTCTGCAATTTGATATTCCGATTACTAATGGTATCTGGTGTAGAGATCTGTTGGTGGTTTCGCAAATGTGTACTATAATTATACGAAAATTACTAATTCGTACTAAATTTGGTGTTGGGTGAAGGGATAATGATCTGAATCCTGAAATTTGATATATGTATATGACACGGTTGGTATCTGTGTTTAAGATTTGGGGGTGGTTTAGAAATGCGTCCCATATTTGTACGAAAAGTACTAAATAGTACTTAATTTGGTATTGGGTGAATGGATAGGTTTCGAATCCTAAAATTTGATGTTGAGGTCCCTGTTGGTATCTGGTATTGAAAACTGGATGTGGTTTTGGAACTGGTGAACTAAAATTGTTCGAAAAATACAAAGTGGTACCAAATTTGGTATTGGATGAGGGGATAATATTGGAATCTTTAAATTTGATATTGATGTCTCAGTTGGCATCTTTGTTTGAGATTTGGCGGTGGATTGGAAATGCGACGTATATTTGAACAAAAAGTATTAAATAGTACTAAATTTGGTATTGGGTGAAGGGATAGGTTTGGAATCCTCAAATTTGAAATTGAGGTTACTGTTCGTGTCAGTTATTGAGATCTGGAGGTGGTTTTGGAAATGTGAACAATAATTGTACGAAAAGCACGAAACAGTACTAAATTTATTATTTAGTTAAGGAATAGAGCGAAATCCTCAAATTTGATGGTTTTGGAAACGTGAACTATAATTGTTCGATGGGTGATGGGATAATGTTGGAATCTTTAAATTTGATATTGATGCCTCAGTTGGTATCTGTGTTTGAGATTTGGCGGTGGTTTGAAAATGCATCTTGTATTTGTACGAAAATTACTAAATAGTACTAAATTTGATATTGGGTTAAGGGATAGTTTTGGAGTCCTGAAATTTGAGATTGCGATGCCTGTTAGTGTCTGTTATTGAGATCTGCAGATGGTTTTGGAAATGTGTACTATGATTTTACAAAAAGTATAGAATTGATCTAAATTTGGTATTAGGTGATGGAATAGAGCTAAACCCGTGAAATATTATTATATATACTGGTAGCATAGCCCGACGTCAAGGAAGTAGACGGAGGAAAGCAGCAACATTAGCAGAATTGGTTCGAAAAGTGCATAAAGAAGCGACTTGATCGAAACCCGCGTCGCAGTTGCGGAAAAATGGCTCGTGAGCCCATTCGGCAAATATTGAAAAATGAGCTCGGGGTAAAGTCATTGAAATTCCAAAAAGTGCAAGAATTTACATCGCAACAGAAGGAAGGTAGACTCAAAAGAGTCAAAGAGTTGCTTCGCTTGGCCGAAAGTGGTGAATTGCCGAATTTGGTTTTCTCCGATGGGAAACATTTTTTGTCCAGCAGTTTGTAAACAAACAAAATGATTGTGTTTACTTGCCAAAGAGGTCAGCTGAAAATGTGCACCTTCGGTTGGCCACCAGAACTCAAGCGCCGGCCATGGTAATGGTGTGGGCCTCAGACCTTGGAAATTCCAACAGGACTCAGCACCATCGCACTCAGCACACGCCACCCAAGAATGGTTACAAAATGAGGTTCCTCGCTTCATTTCCAGCGTACAATGGCCATCAAAATCTCCGGATTTCAATTCGTTGGACTATTGTGCCTGGAGTATTTTGGAAAGTAAGGTTGGCACTAAAAAATAGCAAAGTGTCGATCACCTCAAGTAAGCGCTTCGCTGGAAATAGGCCAAAATACCGCAAAGCCACATTCGGGAAGCGTGTGACGGTTTCATTGGCCGTTTGAAGGTCATAACTCGTGCCAAAGGTGACTAATTCGAACAAATCTAAACTTATTCTAAAATTTGATGCTGTTTCCAAAATGTCATGCTTTCATTCAAAAGAGATTTAAAAAAAATGTAAAAATTATGGCGTTTCACTTTGTTGCAGTTTTTTCATCTCACCCTCTTTGTACTTTGTGGGGTCTATTATGAATATTTCGAGGAGTTACAAACGGAATGACAAAGCTAATATACCCTCCATAGAATGGTAGAGGGTATAAAAAGGTCTGATACAAAATGTTGGAACGAATCTAAAATTTTAATTTGGACTTTTCGCTGACGAAATGGCAGTCACTTGCTATCATAAAAAAAGTTTTGGTCAGAAAAAATGGATTTGGATCCGCGCCCTACGGCAAAATTTTGGGTCGATGGGAATAGAACTTTAACTGGTCTAACTAAGAAATT